CTCCGAGTCTATCCATACCGAGTCTATCCAATCCCCACATATGCCGCAGGTGAAGACGTTCAATGGAACGGTTGCCATCGTTTCCGGCCAAAGCTTTCTGCAACAAGGCCGCTCCCCAATTCCCATCATCTAAAATGATTTCTTTCACAGACGAGCTCTGGATCAAAGCCTGGGACACGATTCCAACGGTCTCTTCATCCATCTTGTACCTTGAGCTTGAGCTGGATAAACGCAACGATTTTAAGAGAGGAGCACTGTTGATCATGTCAGCCACATGCTTCACTGCACTCAAGTCCCCCCACGCGTCAGCTAGTTTCAAATATTTAAGCTCAGAATCAGAATTTCCTCGCAGTCCTGAGGCAAGATTCAGGAAACATCTCGCAGTTAATGGGCAGCGAACTACTTCCAAATGTGTTACGCTAGAGGTACTCAGAATTCTCCCCAGCTGTAAACACAAGCTCTCGACTTCCGTATCGGAACTCCATTCCAAAAAGGAAAGGCTTATCTCTCGTAGAATAGTGCTAGATCTGAATGCTCTCAAAACTACATCCCATTCACTATCCGTCAACTTCGATATATCATGGTCACAAATTTCTTCTACCCCCAAATACTCAAGGGTGTTGCAGTTGCCGATTGCCTCCAGCACTCGAAGGCGCACTTGGCTTTGCCACCCTGTTATCGTCGAGAGCGATGCACGCTCCGGAAAGAACTCCTGACAAACCTCGTAGAATTTGGGCCGTAAGTTTGAAAGCCTCGTTAGAGCCTCGCCTTTTCCTTCCAGACGCTGCATAAGGTCTTCAACCTCGCGGGAAAGCTTTGGTTCCTCGTCTGAGGAGTCCATTTCCCGTGTCGCAAGTTCGACTTTCACTTCCATTCTCTCCTCCACTTTCACAGAGACGGATACGTTTGCTGCTTGGCACAAGCGGGTCAAATGTAACCTAGCGTAAAAGAAACCCCCGATCTCGGTTCACAAGAAGAATTTGTGAAGTTCACGTCGCAGTGTCACAACTCGTGTACATGTGCTTGCTGGGCATGAGATTTCTTGCGCGGTGCAACACAAGCGGCGCACAGAGTACTCCAATCTCTGCACATAAGCGGATCATGAGCAATCACCACTAACGCAGGAAGATTGTGCAAAGTGGAAGTAGAAGGTTACTCAAACTCAAGGTACAACGAGCAATGTGAATCAAAATGAATGCAAAACACCAGGATTCTGGTTTCAATCGAATTCTTACATGGCAAAGGTACTTCACATCTCTCGGAAACGCAAAACGACTGTAAGCTCCACTGGAGAGAGGCGTTTTATGTTCACTGTTGACCGAACTGAATGGACAAGCTCTCTGCAGGTGATTTTGTAATGAATCCTGGAAAAGAGGGTGCGATGTGAATGCACAATGTCCTAGATAGCATGATAGGGTATATATCTTAGATGGAAAGTATCTTAGATGTACAATCGTAATCGGATACTGCGAATCTAGCTGCATCAAGACCCACAGGATGACAGCCCCTTAAAATTGATGGGTACTGCGTGGAAAAAGCATACAACATCTTCAATCAGATCTTGTCATTGAGACGTGTGAGCGATCGAGGTAACGACAACATGCGAAAACGATAAGAATGTTTCTCTGTAATTGGAAAATGGTCTTAGAAGTTCAGAGTAGATCTTGACTTCGTTGTGCAAGCAAACAAGATACGTGAGTCACACTGATTCATTCAGTGTGATGATACAGTGAATGTAGTCACGCTTAAAAAAAAATATAAAGTTTATCATCCTTGAATCATTTTCCTGGAATATTCGATCTACTCAAGCAAGTGGATGTATTCTGACTACTGAGTGGCACATGCGCTGTCACTCTGGTTGACAAAGCCTATTGTGCATTTTTTCTTGCTTTGAATATCGGAACAGTAGTCTACATAACTTGTTGGTTCAGAACAAAATTATAAACTATTGAAGAGTCTACTAAACACAATGTGCAGGAACTTTGAACAGAGTAGAAAAGTACTCGACGTTCTCGATTGCTGATACTATTTGTCTTCTAGCTCAACTGTCAAGCATGTGAGCACATGCGTAGTTCTCGTTCCAGAGTCTGGACGTCTTTACACCTCAAACATGAAATTGAGATCGAATTTCGTCCGTGCAACGAGCACTCTAGCTTGTTTATCGCGTCGTATAGAAGTGGATAGAACCAGCATGATACTTGAGGTCAACGTCAAACCTCTCAAGAAATTACATTTTTGAACTTGCTTGCAAGTGAAGAGAAACTGTGCTGTATACATGACTTAAAACATACTTCTGATGCCAAATGATAGATAACAGTGATTCGTGACTTCAGATGAAGATCTGTTGTAGATCTTCACTTGATTTAATTAGAGGTCTGATTTCTTATTAGCGTGTTCCAATATCCTATGTTACCTTGGTAGGACTCTCAAACATGTCCGCATACGGCCTCTAGGATTGAAGTGTGTAGGAAGCCAACATGAAGTAATGTTCTGGGTCCAATCGTGGGAGCCCGATGGACTCAATCATCCCTCTCCTCTTATCCCGGCCTTCATGTATGTCTAACAACCTCGGACTTTCACACGCTTGGACTAGGGTCGGCCTCTTCTTAGAAATGGACCTTTGATGCCGACATTTGACAGGAATCTGTGCAACACATGGAGATCTTTTCTGACAAAGATCCGGTGGAATAGACAGCAACGCAAATTCTCAGGGACGGTCAACTGAATTGAGAGATCCGGGCCTATCTTGGCAGATTGCATTGATGAAAATAAGAGATTCTTCAGGAACATGGAGGTTATGGAACATGAACCAGGACAACAGGAGCCGTGGTCACGGATCCAAAAGCCTTGCTCCGCGCATGATTTGGCTGAAATATTCTCTTAACCTAGGTCGAGACTGTTAGATTATCAACATATTATAACACCTTATTACAGCACTGCTGCGAATGCAAGAGGACTATAGAAAGATTGCTTCTTGGATTCATGTGGCCTTCATGATATTTGAGGACATATAATATCCTTGTACATGATGAGTATAAGACGAGTTTATCCTCGAAATTCACAAAAAGACGGACTGTCAATATGGTACTTCAATCAGTAACCTAAAAAGTCAGTTTGATTGGAGACTCTCAAGACGGCTGAGCTTTGGCATTGAAGTTTTACATAGTTTAACATTAAGCAGTGAAACCCTTCACTCACAATTCTCGGTTTTCCCTAAATTGCTAAAGTTCATGAAGCTCTCTCGTCAAGTTGCATGGTAAAGAAATTTGCAAATTAAGTAAATGAGGAAAGAACATAATAGTATCAAACAATGTCAGGCTAAGCAAACCCATACTTCAAAAGTCAATAGAACGTATGTGTTCATGAACGTAGCCGATCCCTTAGTTGCCATATTTTGTAGAGAGTATAAAAGCAAAAGGGTTCGTACATATCTCATTTCGTAAAGTGCTCTCATGGTAGAGTCCAATGAGTGCGGAAATGATCTCTTGGACTTTTGAACTTTTGTCTTACTCAATTGAGTTAATGCACTTAGTGATTTTTATTAGATCTGTTTTTAGACCTGAAAGCATAAGGGGTAAAATTTGAGCTGAATTTAATTAAAATGGTTTTTTTCGATTTGAAGGAAAACCCTCACTTGGTGGACATCACGAATGTAATACTTCGTTACATCTATCATGCAACGAAGTATTAATTTCGTGAAATAAAAGCTTGAATTTGAGATAATTTTAAAGATATTTGATTTCATCCATGTTACATAATAAACATCATTTTTGGGATCGTATTACCATAAGATTTACAACTTCAAAAAATTCACTTAAATTATATGGTGAGATTTATAAGATTTTAAGACATTTCACATATTTCCACAATTTTTGATTTTTGAGACTCTAGAAAAAATTATGATGATTGGACAATCTCAGACTTGTGCTAAAGTTGAATTGTTTGCAGTATATGCGATGCTCTTATTATTTTTGCTTTCTTAAAGTATCAGATAAAAAACTCAGAACTTTAGTGGAACAAGAGTTTAGAGAATATTTGGCCTTCATATAGACATTGAGAAAAAATCTGAACCAATATGTAATGTTAGAATTCTATTTTCAATTATTATTGGAAATTGATCGGAAATTATTGATTGTTACTGAAAATTATTGAAAATTTTGAAATTTTGAAAAATAAAAAATGAAAAATATATCATCACAGTTTGATTATTTTATAAAAATTTACGAGATATAAATTTCTTAATTTTCTGATAAAGAAAAAAATAAATATTCAATATACCTTACTTAAGGAATATCGATTAAAATTTTAAGGAATGTTTTAGACAAATTCATACGTGTACAGGAATGCATATGTTTAAGAGTCTCTTACCTTTTTCGATATAATCTCACCGATTTTCATTTCTTCGTGCAGCCACCCTCAGGAAAGCCGGGAGCAGTGATTCTTTAGATACAAAAAGACTTTGGAAGAATAGAACAGAGAAACAGATCACTGGGATTGAACTTGGTCGTCGACAAATGCGTGGGAAAATTTGCAAATTGATTGTTCAGATGAACCTCGAGTATTCAAACCTCAACCGGTTTGAATAGACCGAACTTCTTATCCCATCCGCATTGATGGCCTTGAACAGGTTGACGCCCTGGCCACGGGGATTCTTGCACCATATGTCTCTGTCGGTAGCTACATTCTTAGAATCAACTGGTGCATGGAGAACCGGGCTGAAAGCATATCTGAACCCGAAATATTGTAAGAGGTTGGGATTCAGACCTGACATCTGAACTCAAGGAAGTACTTATCTGTTTCAGAGCTTGACCTGTGCAAATAAAGCTATCTATGTCCCCGCACGAGTTGAATGCGGTCTACTTCTTACCTCCGTTTGGCAAAGATGGCCTCCACGATCTTCGCACTAAGACAGAGCAGATCTAGTCGAACTGTGAAGGTGAAGTCTACTTATCGTAAGATCAAATTTCGGATCATATGAACGTGGAGAGAGTATATAACGCTTGGAGAATGACCGATCAGTACTCAAATTGGTCTGTCAAAGGCGTGAGATATTTTTCGAAAAAAGTCATCATCTGTGTTAGTTTGGTATACAGCTAGCGGCATACCTCTCGTATATTAGTCGGATCGAAGATGGAGAATCATCATCACTTTGGCCATCATCACCATGAAAATGAACAACACCATGAAGCAGACCATCACCACAGACGAGATGATTCACCACGACGAGGCGACCTGTTAGAGAGTGATCCAGGTCAACATTACAAGCATTCGCCAACTGTGGAAACTTTTCCAGTTACAACTGTTGATTTCGATCATGCAAGGTCTGAGGAGAGAAAACACAAGAAAGAGGAGCATCACGCAGAGCTTGGTGCATTGGCAGCAGGTGCCTTTGCTATGGTACGTAAATACTTGAGCAAATGGATGGAACTGATAAAGTTTTTGAAATTTCACTCATCTGATGCATATTACAGAATCACATTCTTATTTCTTATGATGACAATTGTAAATGCTACAATATGAATCGAGTCAACCTACAGAGAAATCTAGTCTTACAGAAATGGTCTGGTCAACTTGTGTCTGCTCCTGAAATCTGAAAATTTTCCAATCGTTGTAATCTTTGTGTTCCCACTTCGAGAACATACATTCGTTGTTCTTCGTGACGATGAATAATCAAAACATCTGAAATTCTTATATGGGCTTCGTGTCTTGAGCAGCACGAGCATCACAAATTAAAATCAGGAGGAGAAGAAGACTCTGGCAGACACAAGCTGGAAGAGGAAATTGCAGGTGGCCTGGGAGTAGGGGCCGTTGGCTATGCGCTGTATGAACATCATGAGAAGAAAAAAGAAGAGAAGGAAATGGAAGAACTCGAGAAGCGTGGACACGAGAAGCATGGGTGGTTTAGCTGAATCTCTATCCATGTCATAGGTCCCACGTATCCACCATGCATTTACGATACTCTGGAACTATTGATTTGAGAAATTCAGTCTCTTTAGGACAGACTGAAGAGTGGTGGCACTCTTTAGTCTTTTTATTGCAAGACGCGCCTTGCTTCAAGATTCCGTGCTACATCTAAACGTAGATAAAATCGCGATCTTTCTCATAAGCATAGCCAGGATGTGGAAGAACCATGCCAGTTTGCAGACGCTTTTCGAGTGCAGTCTTTGCAAACACGCTGTCAAAGTTGATGATCAGGATATTCAGAATAAAACAACAATTGCGGAATCTGAAACATTTCCAAGTTTGATTGAACACATGTTCACGGGTTCATATGTTGTGTCTTTTTATCTTTGAGTAATATAAAATTTTTTACTCAATCTTTGCTCTATATATGTTGTGAACAATATCTAGAGCAAAGAACAACATCATTAACACAGCTTCTAGTTCAAATTCATAATTATACTTACAGTACAGATTCAGGTGAAAATAAGTCATGAGAATCTCATGACAGAGTAAGATCATATCTCATGATGAGATAAGATCTTACTCTGTCAAATGAAGTCACTGTTTCTACAGAAAACAGCTAGCAAACGGATTACTCTTTAGTGCAAACGTAAGATACTAACAGAGAATAGAATATTGAATGGATGGACTTAATTTCATATGCGGAATTGGAAAGACACATTTGTAGCCTCTCTTGATCCAGCGTCTAAAGAAGTTCCATAGTATCATTCAGTAAGAGAAAACTTTGTAGCCAGATAGTTGCCGTTGTTTAGAGCGTGAGGTGGATCTAGACTCAGGTACCGAATATCACGCTTCCTCCATGCAGGCCATTGGTATAATTGCAGTAATAGTCGATACGGCAGTGCATGTTGGTTGATTTAATTCCAGTTCAGATGCGATCCTTGACTTTCGGTATCTCAGCAAAAAAAACCATATCATCGAGTAAACATCAACTCCATCTCTTTGGTCTTTTCTTTCCACCAACACGGTGCACGGTAACAATCCGAGCTCTCACAATTGGCTCAGTTTCTACTACTCATCTCATTCTTTTTTCAGTCTCAAAATGTAACACGACAGAAAGCACAGTACTTATATATTATTCAATGTATCAGTTTCATCGATTCAATCCATCCAAATGATAGTCAATCAATCAATCCAAATGATAAATCTGATGTGCTAAATTCAACTTCTGACAGGACTCGGATGAAGCTCACAACTGACGACAGTAGTATCGGTGAAACTTTGGATTTCCTAAATCTCACACACTGATTCGAACGAAAGTCTGAAGGATGCCGTTTAATCATGTCGTAGTCCCACAAGGCTGGGACTACGACATGATTTTGGTGGACTTTCATCTCTAAAATAAACGACGGATGAATGAAGTCACCCATTCATTAATACTTTATACTCATCGAGCCGTGAGCTGATAGTTATACCAGAGCGTTGTAGCGTTACAGTCATCTCATTGTCTATTCAAATTGATATTCAAGACTAAACGTTCTGTAGCCATTCGTCATGTTCTAACGATGTTGATCACCGTTGGAAGACGTTTCAAGGATGCGAATGGTTCCAAATGGGCAGTAGGGAGATATGATTGACATTCGTCAGGAGAAGTGTGTCTTCACTGTTCGTAGGAAGCTACTGTTGTCGTCGGAATTCTTTGCCTTGACCTTCGTAAGTCTCTGGAGCGCTGAACACCTATCTTCATCACACTTGCAGTGATTCGATCGGCTGGTCTCCCTAGTCACTCCCTCCGAGGTCTTTTTCAGTACGGAGCTTATCGTCTTTCTAGGAGTCTTACATTCAGCAAGTAAAACAATTAATGCCCTTGCCCGTAAAATTGTCCGAGGATTTGGAGTGGGATTATCTCCCTTGTGAGGTGGCTGGTTTTCCAGAAAGGATCTTTCACGCAGACGATCAGCAACTTGACGCAAGAGGGAGGAAGATCAAGAAAAGAACCTGTCATACATCCCATAGACCAGCCTTCCATTTACGGAAGGCTGGTCTATGGGATGTATGACAGGTTCAAAGGCAAACCTGAAGAAGAATACCAGGAATGGTGGACCAAGGTGCACTATCAACTGCTCCCCTTGGAGTTAGTATTGACTGAGGACGAGCTTAATCTCTATGCACCAGAACTGCACGATGAGCGTAAGAACAAGTACTTCGGTGTCTTCCGACGAAATAAGGAGAGACCTTCAGCCGACGCTCCAGACTGGGTAGTCGCCATCCGGGAAACTAAGCTCTCGGCTTTGGCGGATCTCCAAAACGAGACCAAGATCGTTCTGGAGAAACTGAACTCTTCAACTCTGATCCCACTTCTGCACTATGTGGTCTGGCGTCTCGGTGCGCAATATGGAACGTGATCGCTCATTCACTCGGGGCCGCAGCGGGCTTGCTCGTCTGTCGAAAGTTGGCATTGGAGGACTGTCTGCTCGAGGATCACCTCTTCAACCCTCTGTTCATCACTCTGGATTCGCTGGCGCGCACCTGTGCACCATGTGTGAAACTATATGACGCTGCTATGCGGGCCGGGAACAGAGTTCTCCATGCAGTGGCCGACACCGACAGGAGAAGCAGAGCATTAGCCGAGTTCTTGACACTTGAAAACTGGTCTCCCTATTTCTATGTGAACAAACACGACTTGTCGTGAGTTTGTCTCACACTTCAGGTGCACGAAACTGTGGATGGTGATGGGAGGTGGTATTCTTCCTTGACGAGTTAACCCAGAAGTTGGTGGGAGAGACAGAGTCTCACCATCTGTTTACTTCTGCACATTTGGTTACGAGTAATACACACCGGATCCGGCCCATTTCAGCACACATGTTTTGATCCAGATAGATCCACTAGAAGAAAAGTTGGGACAAGAGTGTAATGGATTGGATAAAGATTATTTTTGGACTTGAGGAGTCAAACTACATACTGAAGTAAAGAGCCAAGTTGCCACTTGCAAATGGAACTCAAATCACGCGACTATCAGGTGACTATATTAGTATGGATTACATAGTATATCAATGTCTTATTAAAAAAATTTATCTTCAATTTTTGGGGATGGGCCAGGGATATTTTTCCTTTGTTAGACATGTCTTAGACTTTTGGGTTGCGAAGATTTGCTTTGTGTGGACGCCAAGTCACACTGATTGTCATCATTAGCACTTTGGAGTGTAGATTGAGATTGATTAAGAAAATTTTACACTTGAAATCGAGAAGTGGTTCTTTAGATTTTTCTTCAAGTGCAGGTAAGAATTAGTTCTTTTGATAGTTCCTCGTAGTTCATTCAGAAAATGCCAACTTCAAGAAATAATTCTCACCTACACTTGAGGAAACTCTAAAATAACTAATTCTCACTCGCACTTGAAGAAAGATCTAAAAGATTATTTCTTGGCTCCAAGTGTAAAATTATCTGATGCAACTCCCTATCTACACTTCAAATTACTAATCTTTATAACAACCAGGGTGGCTTTGCGTATACAAAAAGCAAATCGTCGCAACTTTAAAGTCCAAACACACCTAACAAAGGACAAAAACCTCTAAATCCTCTCCAAGGATCAATGATATTTTTTTGGTAATAAGACATTGATATACTATGTATACAATCCTAATATAGTTATTTCATACTCCCATGATTTGAGTTCCACTTGCAAGTGACAACTTGACTCTTCACTTCAGTCCGTACCTTGACTCTTCATGATGTCAGACAGCTTCACTTCAAAGCAAGCTTTGAAGTGATTCTAGAGAGCAAAAACTTTATGTAGTTGTTGAGGGTGTAGGTCAATCCCCCGTCCATCTCTTTTTGCCAATTTCTGGCCTCTCTCATTAGGGACGCCATCTACTATCTTGCGAGTCTAGATTCGGCATCCATTGGGTCTCTATGTCCAAAAGCCTCAGACCAGACCAATAGAACACTTCCGACAGAATGTTTGCGACTTTTCTACGGTAAGAGCTGGCAGGCGCAAAATCAAAAGTCTTGGCCAATGATATTGTATCAGCTTCAACAAGGACCCGCCTGTTGCAAGAGAGAGAAAAGAAGAGCAGCGCAATGAACGCATTCTTCCTGCCGGCCATCTCAAAATCAGCGCTCGACTTCTGTTCACCATTTTCAATTGAACCTGGACCTTTCATATTGGAAGGCTCGGCTTGTGAGGTTTTCACGATTGACGCAATCTATCCCATCTAAACTCTTTCTTATCATTCAAAACAAGTGACTGAAGAACCTGCCTCGTAGGGCGAGAAAGCGTGTTACCACGTACGGATAAGCGGAAGCAAAAACCTTGTAGTTTGGATCCATCAATAGTGCTATTCCTTCAAGTGATTCAACCTATATGAGAACTAATGTGTAGTAGGGAGGCAAAGAAACACAAGGCTATCTCCCAAAGCTTTACAGTCACCTGTCCAAAATTGATGTTTGATAAGCCGTCCTTGACAACTGCATCATGGCCGTCACCAAAAACCTGCTCTAGAGCCACGCAAAGAGCAAATCTATCTGTTGTTGGCTAAAGAACATCCATATCACCCAGATCATTGGAGAGGTGTGGTACCCCACTTTTGGTAATTTTGAGGAAATTAAAACATTTTTGGAAAACTGTACCCCGGCAGCAATGTAAATAGCCTTCGGTGCATCAAAACAGAGTGAATTCGGAAGATCGCAGAGATTCTCGAGTAACCTCGTAGAATCTAGGAGTTGGGTGCAGCAGTAAGGAAGGGCACCACCGTCCCTGCGAGTTCTGCAGTTAGGATCCCTACGGCGCAAGGCGCAAAACCCGCCTTCAGCGCTGCGTCCGCGGCAGTAGGGAAATCCTTCATATTTAGGTCAACCCCCGAACGTCTTGACTTAGCTAGGGTCTCGTTGGAAAGAGCTTGATGCGCTGATTCCAACGAGCCCAAGAACGCCAACAACGGATAAGGGCTCGGGGAGATATGAAGGTTGTAAGATACTCAGCTCTTCGCTTGCGCGCAGGCGGAGAAGTTTTGTCATATGCGCGGACAAAGGAAGTCCGCCTGCGCACAGGCGAAATAGGGTTTTGAGGTAGGCGCGAAGTTCGCCTACGCACAGGCGTCCGCCTGTGCACAGGCTGTGGTAACACACTTTTTGTTTTTTTTGCAGAATTTAAACAATTTTAGAAAACTAGTACCGAAGCAGTGTTTGTAGTTAGAAATGGGTACGTTAAATAGAGTGGATTGATGAGATCGTCACGAGGTCACGAAGAATCACGTAGTCGGATGTACCAACGCCAATGTCTTCGGCGCCTTCGGCAAAAGCTCCTTTTCTGAGGTGTCTCTACCAGCGTATAAGGAAGCTACG